TAATTCACGGACATCATGATATGCACGAGTGGCAAAAACGCTATCAATTATGCTGAGATTTTCCGCCCAACGTTCCTCATCATCTAAATCCCTGTAGGACATGCTGATATTTTTTCAGTAGGGAAAAACGGAGATGCCGATATGGTAATGGATTATTGATAGACTGGTAGTGGCAGGGGGCAATAGAAGAATAGCAGTAAGGTTTGAATAACTTGACATACGTGAGGCTTAATGTAGTAAGACTGAGGACTGTTTGTGTTAACACAGAATCTTCATTACTTAAAATAAAAAATTTAAAGCAAGAACTCACGAAAGGAATTTCATTTTCCTTTTTTTTCTTATCACCAGCTGTTGTTTCTTCTACACCTCTTTCCTTTTTTTAACTTTTCCCTTCATTACAAAAAAAAAAAAAAAAAAAAAAAAAAAACAATTTTGTCAATTTTTCAAGAAAGAAAGAAAAAGTTTTAGACAAATTATACAAAGACGTGGAATTCAAATAAGTTACAAAAATATAAAATATAAGAGTTAAACTATAGACCCTGAGCTATATGATGCAATAACAAAAGTTCTCCTCATATTTTTTAAATAACACAAAACCCTTTACCATTAATGAATTGTTGCTAAGCCTTATAAACTATTAAATATTATGAAATTGTTCTTTTGTAGTTTATTTTATTATCTAAAACGTAACGGTAGAGAGAATTTTGTTGTCTTTAAAATTTTAGGGGAGTTTTTGTTATTTTTTTATACCTCAGCAGGATTGAGATTTAAGACATTAACTCGAGCAACACAAAATTAACAACCTAAGAGAACGAAGATAATATTTTATTTATATAGAAGGAAGAAAATATTTTACTGATCAACTCATTATTTCTTCCCAATTATAAAATATAAACTGAGGATCAAATAAATTTAAGACTAATGAACTCTAATAACAAAATTAGATTTTTACTATAAATAAAACTACTTAGATTAATTTTCAACAAATAATTAAAAAAAAATCGATGGAAATTATTGACTTTTTTTTTTTAAGTTTCTTTTAATAAAATGAGGAGTAAAATACTAATTTTATGTTTCAAACTAATATTAACCACATATAGAAGACTTGTCAAAAACTAAGATTAGTCCAAATTCAATAGGAATCAGAAATGGAAAATGATAGAGTTATTGAATGTTGCGCACCGAATCTGTACATCGAATAATGTGATAAAATCTTGATCGTTAAATTTTGACCGTTAATTAATATTAACTAATAATAAATAAACGATTAAGATTTTATCACATTATTCGATGCACAGATTCGATGCGCAACCTTCGATGACTGTAACATTACTCATCACAAATTAAGACTCTAATAACATTACTTCTACTTTCCTACTAAAAATGAAAATTCTTAGTTAATCTCGAATAGAAACTAAAAAAATAAAAAAACAGTGGAACTTAAAAATTTAATTCCAGTGCACACCTTCAAAACTTAAAATTTAATGTGGGGACGATTATCATTTGTAGGTCCACACTTACATTACTACTATTCCGAAACTCCTTCAGTTTGCGTAATTTAATGTTGAATATTCCATTTCATTTATCATCATTGCTATCTTTTACTTTGCGTCAAGTCATTGCTTTATCACTAAAATATTCCATTTCATTTATCATCATTACTATCTTTTACTTTGCATCAATTCATTGCTTTATCACCACTCCAAGTTATATATATATATATATATATATATATATTTTTTTTTTTTTTTTTTTTTTTCTTTGTATCAATTCATTGCTTTATGAGCAATCCATGTACAAATTCTTTCACTGCTCAAACACCAGCATCTAGCTTCAAAGTAAAAGAGTCATTTAAAATGAACTTCCCGTATAAGCTAATTAATCAGGGAGGTCCACCAAGATTTAATTAACACATCTTTATACGGTGGGATTCCAAAAAGATGGAGGTGAGCCTATTTTAAATGAGGAAACTAGAATTGAATGTTGTAGCTTTTTCAAAAGACATATCGATCATTGAAAACTATAACCGTTAAGATATGTTTGGTACAGAATATTGAAAAATAATTGTGAAAAATGAGATATTATTTGCATGAGCATTTCATTACATGTTTGAATGTCTTATAAAAGCATACACTCATTGGGTATTTCAGCTCACTCTTTTCAATTATTTTACTCCTATCAGGTCAACAAGAAGATCATCTTGAGGAGTGATTTTACTCAAAATTGGGCCACTCAACATAATTTCATCTTGGGTGTGACATGATATGTTCTACTTCAGCTGCAGCAACTAATGTTTCATGTCATCTATTATTCTCATGTATTAATTATAAAATATATAGAAAACATGATACCAAATGTTTCTAATCTCAAAGTTTCAAAGGATATAAGTTTTTGTATGTCTTTATCATGTTTTAAATTCAGAGATGGGTTTCGCAGTTTTCCCTATATGGCATATCTTAGTCACCCAAGTCCTACGGGAGCGTCTAGATCCTATAGGATAGGAAGGGTCGGGAGGGGTTGTGTCATATAAGATATATGTTTTTTCTTTGTATCAATTCATTACTTTATGAGCAATCCATGTTCAAATTATTTGATTGCTCAAACACGAGCATCCAACTTTAAAGTAAAAAGCCATTTAAAATGCACTTCCTGCCTAAGCTAATTAATCAAGGTGGTCCACCAAGATTGAATTAACACATCTTTATACGGTGGGATTCCAAAAAGATGGAGGTGAGCCTACTTTAAACAAGGAAACGAGAATTGAATGTTGTAGCTTTTTCTAAAGACATATCATTGAAGCGAAGATATGTTTGGTACAGAATGTTGAAAAACAGTTTTATCCTGGGTGCTAGTAGTAGTGAGAGCTTCTAGTATAAGCTATGAGCGATATTTTCGGCATGAGTTTTCAGAAAAACGAGAAACATTTATTATTGATTAACGCTAGCTCATGAGAAATGACTTAAGATTTTGAAATATGATTATATTGATGTTTTTGAGAAAGCATGAATAATTTGGTATACCTTTAAATGTTGTTTTCGAAAAAACTTTTAGTTTATAATTGCCCGTTTATGAGAAATAGGTTAAATGTTGAAAAATAATTTTTAGAAATAAGATATTATTTGCTTGAGCATTTCATTACATGTTTGAATGTTATATAAAAGCATCCACTCACTGGGTATTTCAATTCACTCTTTTCAATTATTTTACCCCCACCAGGTTAACAGGAAAATCATGCTAAGGAGTGATTTCACTCAAGGTTGGCCACTCGACATCATTTCATCTTGGCTGTGGCATGATATGTTCTATTTCAGCTGCAGCAACTAATGTTTTATGTCATATATTATTCTCATGTATTGATTATAAAATATATAGAAAACCTGATACCAAATGTTTCTAATCTCAAAGTTTAGAAGGATATAAGTTTTTGTATGTCTTTATCATGTTTTAAATTCAGAGATGGGTTTCGCAGTTTTTCTTACATAGCACGTCTCAGTCGCCCAAGTCTTATGGGAGGGTCCAGATCCTATAAGATAGGAAGGGTCATGTCATATAAGATATATGTTTTTTTTTTTTTTTTTTTTTTATCAATTCATTGCTTTATAAGCAATCCATGTTCAAATTATTTGACTGCTCAAGCGTCAGCATCCAACTTTAAAGTAAAAAGTCATTTAATGTGCACTTCCTGCCTAAGCTAATTAATCAAGGAGGTCCACCATGATTTAAGTAACACATCTTTATACGATGGAATTCCGAAAAGATGGAGGTGAGCCTAGTCTAAACAAGGAAACCAGAATTGAATGTTGTAGCTTTTTCTAAAGACATATCGATCATTGAAAACTATAACAGTGAAGATATGTTTGGTACAGAATATTGAAAGTCATTAAAACAGTAAAACTTAATCATCAGTATTATAAGCTTCATCAGGAAGATATAGAGATTCGTAATCCAAGTCCACACTTCATCTTATTATTCCATCCCCAGTCCACAAGTCATTCGTCAACCAGGATAATTCATGTGTAGCATGCATGCATGCATATGGATTTTTAAACTTGTCTGTTACATTTTTCTCTTGCTTTTCCAATTTTATAAAATGGCCCGCAATGTCTGAACTTAACTAAAACATTAAATTATTTCACTTGGTTGAAGTACTTAACATCAGGAGTAGCTCAATATACTGCTACAGCTTCAACAGTCACTGTGTGCTACCTCTTTCATTTCCGGGTATGTGAATTATTTTAATAAAAGACTCGTGTTTTATTTGTTATAAGAAAATAGCATATGTACTTACAAACTCCAGGCTACATTTTAGTTTTATTGAATATTATATCTGTTTGGTGATTAAGAAATACACATTGTAATGGTTGATCAATTTAGCCAATGACATATATTGTTAGCTTTTACTGGGTATCGTCTTTAATTAAGTATATATACTTAGTGGCGGACCATAAAATTTATATTTAAGGGGACACTTAATAAAGAATAAATTATGTGGATGTGTACTTAATAGCGTCTTTTACACAACACTTTGGAGGGGATGGATTTTAACAATTGAATGTATTTAGTTGAATTAAAAACTTCAATTTATTTTAAGATTTTTTTTATGCAAGAATTTTCTTAAAAGCACCCATTTAATTGTAAGACCCTAAAGAAAAATAATATCATAAGAGTATTCTTATAATTTGTGGTTCCAAAATATTATTGAATTAACGAAATTTATTTACTAGTGTTGTTATTTATTATAAAGAAATTTTAGTCAATTAGTAATTATGTTTTAGCATATAAATTTATAAATCTTCCACCCATGCATACATAACTCTTTGGCATATAAATTTCTTCATAAAAGTTTATTACGTCTAGCACTAATGGAAATTTCGAACTACGTAGATTTTAGTGTTCTCTAAATTCTTTTCTCTTTTATTAACCAATAAGTTTGTAATATTCATAAGTCCTATTATAACTATAGAATTTTCAGTTGCTTGGTGTTTGATCATTAGGGAAATATGAAGTTGATAGAGCTATTTTCTGAAGAAATTGTCAGAGTTTGGAGTGAATGGGAAGTTCGAGTGGTGATTCTGCTTAGCCTTCTTTTACAAATGATCCTCATCATGTTTGCTTGTCAGAGAAAATGCAGAACAACAAGTTGGATAAAGATCATTATTTGGTCAGCATATATGGCAGCAGATTGGGTGGCAACTGTTGCCTTGGGCAACCTGGCTAAAATCCAAGCAAATCGTGAAAAGAAACGATTCAATATTGGACTCCAGACATTTTGGGCACCTTTTCTTCTCTTGCACCTTGGTGGTCCTGATACTATTACGGCTTACTCTTTAGAAGACAATGAGTTGTGGACAAGGCACTTTCTCGGGCTTCTTGTTGAAGTTGGAGTGGCGATTTATGTCTTCATTCGATCTTTCAACAATACAGCCCTTACATATGTATCCATTCCCATATTTGTTGCTGGAATCATCAAGTATGGAGAAAGGACTTATGCCCTCAGGTCCGCAAGCAACAAGCAGTTTAAAGAGGACTTGATCTCTACAAATCCAATTGTGGAAAATGCTATGAGAATAGCAATGGGAACCAAAGAAGAAGATTTTTTTGAGATGGAACTGATGGAGGAACCGAAAGAAATTTCGTATGAAAAAACTTTGAGCCGAAAGCCGGAGTTATCTAATAATATTGAAGAAGCTTATTTTTTGTTCAAGAGGTTTCAGTATCTCTTTGCGAACATGATTCTGCCCTTCAATGACCGCATAGAGTGCTACAACATCATTCAGAAGCAAAAGGAGTCAGACAATCCAGAGGCATATAAAGAGGCCTTTAAACTGGTAGAAATTGAGCTCGGATTTATGTATGATGTGCTTTACACCAAGACCAAAGTAACTCATACTAGGAAGGGATTTCTTCTTCGTCTCATCAGCTTCTCTTGCACTGTTTCTGCACTAATTGTCTTCTCAGTTGTCATTGATACCAATGTCTATCATCTAAGCGACATCTTCATTACTCTCTTACTTCTTGTCGGGGCAGTGTTTCTAGAGGTTTACGCATTTCTCGTATTTCTTTTCTCTGACTGGACAAGAATATCTTCGTTCAAGGAACAAATATCAAAGATTGATTCTTTTCTTAAATCATATTTGACCAACAAAAAGATGCATTCTTTTTTTGAATCACTTTTCACCAAAAAGAGGTGGTCTGCATCTGTAGGACAATACAACTTAATAAAAGTTTGCATTGCTGAGAAAAAAGCTGGCAAGTTCATTAAAGGTGTTCGGAAGTTGCCTTATATCACTAAATGGATAGAGGAGTGCTATTACTTGTCTCGGAAAGAAGTAGATAATGATATGCAAGAAATGATTTTCAAGCAGCTGAACTATAAAGCTGAAAAAATCAAAGACAACTATACAACGAAGTCATGTAAAGATTTGCTGGCTCAGAGAGGTGATCACGTGAGTGAAGAGTATTGTGAAAAGCTTAAAGAATTCAGCTGGAGCACTATTGATGTAGATTTTGACCACAGCCTTCTGGTATGGCATATTGCTACTGATATTTGTTACCAAGAAGATTCTAAGAAAGACAAAGATGGTTTTTGCAAAATTAGCAAACTGTTATCAGATTATATGTTGTATCTTCTTTTTCTATGTCCATCTATGCTACCGAAAGGGATTGGTGAGATAAGGTATAGAGATACATGTGAGCACGTGAAGAAATTTTTAGAAAAAATACTCAATAGTACTGGAGACATTTGTGTTCAAAAAGTTTGCCAAGAGATGAACAAAATTACGATCAGCAAAAGGCATATAACTCAATCCATACTATCTGACGGATGTAAGCTAGCGAAACAACTGCGACGAGAATCAAATGCTAACAGTTGTGGAAATAAATGGGAGATGATAAGTGGAGTGTGGATTGAAATGTTAACTTATGCTGCAAGTCATTGTGGATGGAAAGAGCACGGTCAACAGCTGTGGAAAGGCGGTGAGTTGCTCACTCATGTTTCTCTTCTTATGGCCCATCTTGGTTTAAGTGAACAATTCAATGAAAAGGAGGAATTCCTCCTCGTGTAAAATATGATTAATTATTGTTGTCAGTGTAATAAATTTACTCAGTCCTTTTTATGTTTCATTTCATGTATCGGATGTGTTGTGATTTTTATTTGCTATCTTGCTTTATGACTGTTGTGAAAATAAAAGAGTTAGCTTACATGCATTTTGCAACCTTAAGTTTAATGTATTTGAGATGAAAGATGTTCTTCACTAATCAGAACTTTAAAGTTAAATTATATTAGAAAAAAAAATGCAGCACAATGCTGTAAAAATAGACAAACCGAATTTTATATGAGACAAATAAAGAGAAGAGTTTTTGCAAAAACAAATTAATATGTATCCAAAAGGTTTATCCTTCTTGACAAGGAAGGAATTCATAATATAAATTTTTTTAGGAAGGACCAGGATCCTCTCTTGATTTGAGTGTAGATCTGAGTTTTTAAAGGCTTGTGATTGGTAGTTATATAATCAAAATATATTAGATAAATAGATATGAACTATAGATAAATACAAATGTACATGTATTATAAGAACCTTAAAAACTCAGGTGAGTTTAGATCACGAGAGGGTCCTGATCTTTTAAGGACTGCCCTCCATTGGTTGTTTGTTTGAATTGTACTAATTACATAAAAAATCTAGCATTTTTGATAACTTCCTATTTATTTTTACATTATTGTATCACCCTTAAAATTTTAATATCCTTTTTTTTACATTAACTGTGTTTGTTGGACTTCTAATCTTGTTTTATGTAAATTAAATTTAAAATTATAAGAATTATAAGAAAAATAAACGACTGTTATTTGAAAATTCTGTAAAAAGTTTAGAATAATTTCGTTAATTATAAGAAAATAAAAACTAACAGATTTTCAATAATTCTTCAAACAGGTTTTTAAATTATAAGAATCTAAGTGTTACTTTTAGATTTTATTGGGCCTTAGTGTTATTTAAGCTAAACCCAAATGACCAAAATAATAAACTCTCTGCTGAGCAAGCTACGCCTTTAGGCCCTTTACAGTGGCCAGCCCACCATGAACTACGACTAGGCTTGAACCTACCCTCTCTGATTCTAACCTGTAGGTATCTCATGGGTCCTTGGGGCATCTCACTTGCTATTGGCCCAGTTAGCTGTATATGTATCTCGGTCATGTCAGATGCCGATCTGTCAATGGCGGTATCAAATGTTGAGGATGTGTTTCCTTTACAAGAAAATTACTTTTTTATGTTAGAATTTTAATTAATTAAAATTCATTGACTTAAATTACTATTTGGTCCTACACTTTTACATTGTATTTTTATAAATAATTAATTACAGCAGTTGGGCAGTTATCCCCATAAATTGTTTTTGATGAAAAGATTTATGTGTACATTAAAATGAGAGAAGATATAGGTCCCCAATACACACAATTAATTATCCGATATTCCCAAAATCATCATTCTAAGAAATTGCAGTGCATTGGAAGAATCTGTAATCTTTAAAGAAGACAATAACATCAAATTGCTATGACGGAAGGTTGGTGTTAATTTATTTCCACTGCATTTTTATATGAACATGTGTATGAATTTATATGATTTGGCTATATACATGTTTTATTAATATGAATGAAAAATGTTCAACATGTGATATCAGAGCCTATTGCCTGTTCATAATCTCTGCCTGCCATGATGTTGTTGTTTTGCCATGATTATTTTTTAGTATGTTATGCCTTGGTATATGAATGCAAATTTGGAGTATATTGCATGAAATTGGGACTTTTTATATTAAAACCTGTAACTGTAAATAGGGCATAACTTTTAGTATAGATCATATCCGTTTTTGATTTTGCTATCATTAGAATCTTTGTTGAAAGAGTTTTCCAATGATATATTATTTGCCAAAATCAGAGTTATGATTACAAAGTTATTACATTGTTTTAAAACCCGGCCCGGCCCGGCCGGTTCAACCGGTTCAACCGGGACCCCGACAGCTTCAACGGGTCGGGTTTCTACTTTTCCTATTCACCCAAAACCCTAGGATTTGGGTGGATGATCGGCGAGCAATTGACGGTCGGAACCTTAGGGCTTTTGAAGATAAAGCGCCGTTGAATGTAATGCTGGTGAGATCGTTGATTTCCAGTGAGTAAATAGACCGGAAATTGAACAAATCTGGCAGCCACAACGATGGGATTTCGCCGGCGATTGGAGAGGCTAACGGGGGTGGGGTGAGGTGGGTTTTGGTCGGGAGAAGGAGAGGAGTGATTCCTGAGTGATGGGGAGGGTTGTCGACGCCGGCGTGGATGAGATCTGGCCTGGAATACCCATGTCGGCGTCGGTTTGATTTCGGCCAGATCTTAGGTAGGTTTTAATGAAAATGGGTTCAGGGGACGATTGGGTTGCATCTGGGGTGTCGCCACCGTCAATCGGTCGCCGGTCGATTTGCATTTAGGGTGTGTTTGATAAAATTCAAACATATAGGGACTTACAGGTAATTTTTAGGGGTGTATTTGCTGAATTTTAAAATTTGTTGTCAACCGGTCAACCCGGGACCCGGAGACTTTGCCGAGTTGCACCCCGGGTTGGGTTTTAAAACATTGAGTTATTATGGTTTAAATTTTTAGGAAAAATCATCATTTGGGCGATTTCGTCCGCTGTTTACAACGCCGATTTGGGACGACAGCGGCATTTAGGCTGCCGTTGGCACAGGTCATAAGTCCATATTCAAGTTTCCTCTCTTAAACACTAAAAATAGGTTGGAAATGGACTGTTAAAAATTGCAAAAAACTGGGTTTGAAATTTGCAGAAATCGGGTCAAGACAACATGATCAAACCAGGTCAATGGGTTGAATTGACCCGGTCAAGGTCAAAAACAGGTCAAACTGACCCTGCCAATGTCAAAGGTCAAAGTAGGTCAATTTGACTCAATCAAACTAGTTAACGGGTCAACCTAACCCCACCAAAACCAGTCTAAGGTTAAATCAGGTCAATGGGTCAAACTGGGTTAACGAATTAGTCAACTGGACAAATTGAATCAAAGGGTCAAAATGAGTCAACCCGACCCAATCAACAGGTCAAACTAAACCGATTTGACTATAGGGCGTGGCATGCCTGTGAAAGCACGTGAGAACCTTTTGGAGGCACGTGATGGCGCATGAGCGGAGTATGGGGGCTTATGGTAACACATGGGAGTGTCATGGAGGCGCGTGGGAGTATGTGATGATCCGTGTGATGGTTTTCATGGTGCATATTGGTCTTTTATGCATAAATAACGTAATATTCATACTCTAATTTGTATTATATTGTGTTATCTACAATAATATATATTGTAATTTTGTGATCTCATATGATTTTATATGTTTGATTAATTTAAAGTAGCCACAACATCTAAGTTATGATAATATATGCATTAAGTAATATTTATTATGATCATATTAAAGTTAATGACATCGTTTTGTAATTAATCATGTTAATATAATCATTTTACCCATAGGAAATATTATATTTTATGATTAATTAGGATGAAATAGAAATTATTTCTATTTCTTAATTAGCCCACAGGCATTATGAAATATTAATATTTTTTTAGGTAATATGGTAATTGTATTAAAGTATAAATGAATAACAAGCTACAACAAACTCTTTAGACACGGCAATAGGCACAGTATTTCTGGGTACCCAGCTCCACCTGTCTCGAAAAGGCCAGGTTTTACTCGGTATTAGAGGGCTTGGGCTTGGGCCTAAGATTGATTTTAAGGCTCGCCCTTAGGTACAAGCCGAGCATGGATACGTCTTCAGTCCCGACTTGGCTCGATAATTTTACTATTAATTTACTAAATTACCCTTATACTATATATCTGATTACAAAATTATCCTACATATATATAAAAAAAAAATTGAAATTTATTAATATTCAGTGAGTATTAAAAAATAAATTAATATTTAAAAACTATTTCTATAATTAAAAATATAAAAAAATTGAAATTTATTAATATTTAAAAATTCACATCATAAAAATTGGCGAGTTTGGGCCGAGATTGAGATTACTAAAAGTCAGTTGGGCTGAGCTTGGGCTTTACTCGTTATCCCAGTGACAAGCCCGAGCCGAGACTAGGCCTTTGTCATGGGGTCGAGCTTGGGCTAGGGCCCGGGCCAAGGGGTACCAATTCTGGCCCATTGCCATCTTTACAACCCTTAGACAAGCCTAAGAGCTGCTAAACTCAAAAGGAGCACCAAGGGAAGGAAACCATCCCTGGAGCCCAGCAACTAAGCAATCAAAAGGAGAAGAAAAAGATCCTGGGATTGCAGCAAAAACAAACAGCACACAGACCCTATAAACGGGCATTATAAACCAACATATGCATAGCTAGACAACTCTATTGCCCACAAAAACCTACTCAACAAAAATCTGCACAACCTAGCAAGCACCCAAAGAGGCAATTTCTGCTGCTATCTTCTTTATCCAGCACAACCAAACCTACAGACCCTAACTGGAGACAAAAAAGGCAGTTGCCTATTATAGGCAGTAGCACCCCACTCCAGCAAGCAAACCTGATGGAAAATTATATCTGCATAAGCAACACACCTGCCACAAAAACCCAACCACACAGACCATAAACAAAGGAGTGAAAGAGATCTGCAGTCGCACAACTACAGAATTTTCTGGTGAATTTCCACAACTATACAGTTTCAGATCATCCTCATGCTGCCCATACCCTTTCCAATCATGTTCCTGCAGAAACAAAGACCTGAATGCCAAACCATGCCACCAACGGAGGCAACATCACAACCTTTAGAGAGATCTCTAACACTCTCAATCTTCCCATTTTACACCAAAATCAACAAAAAAATAAAAATAAAAAAATAAACATCTCCAACTTGAAACAATAACCCCTGCCTGCTTGCCTATCCAAAACATTCAGCATCTTTTCAGCAAAGATACAAGAGTAAATTAATCCAAATTTTAAAAGGCTTACCTGTATACGAAAACATAAAACAAAGTTAGTTGAAAAAGTTCTCCATTTCCCTCATATCTTCTTCTCGTGACTACT